CTGGAGTGGCCATGGGAGGGCAACACCGGTTCTCTTGGTGATCGTAGATTTAGGGTTAGCTAGAGAGCATTTTATTTTCTTCCCTCTGGTCCCTATTTAATCACTCGTTTCAAACTATTGAAAGAAGTTTTCTTTTTAAAAGAAAAGGTTTTACTGCAACTGAGCTTGATTTACGAGATAATTGATTTCTGTACTGTTTTGGAAATATACTGTACTCACCGTGGCGTTATGACGTGGATTATGTATTTTCTTATTGCTCAGTCTTTATTTAATTTTATTACTTACTGAGTTGGCGTACGCACATTACTCCTTGCACATTGTGTGCAGATTCAGGTATTTCTGAACCCGGTGGCAGGTGTTGATTACTCAGTGGCAGGTTCATTGAAGATAGCAAGGTACTTGCCTGGCGATCGCAGCCCTGCTTTTCTCCCTCCTTATTCTTCCTTAGACTGTTTTTGGCATTTTTCCTAGATTATGATAGTCTTCATTGTATTTGGACCTCAGTAGATGCTCGTGACCTGTGACACCCCGATGTCGGGCTTGTGTATTCATTTCGCGCTGGTTATTTAGACTTATATTATGAGATTTCTTGTTAATTAATAGCTTAAAAATGACCTTTATAGAATAATGGTTTGATTCGGAAATTGGGTCGGCTGGCCTAGTTTCACGATAGACGCCATCACGACCGGGTCGGTTTTAGGGTCGTGACACTAACAATGCAAGTGAGTCGAATAGTAAGTATACTTTCAGAAAGCTCATGGCAGTGTGATAGGGAATATGTGGAGAAGATACCTTGCGAGAATGAGCCTGCCCAAGAGGATGAGCGTCTACAGAGGGAGATGTGCACGATACAAGAGGACTCTAATTCAACTGAGATGATCGAAAATAAAACATTGGTTGAAAATGAAGCGATGAAAGAAGAGTTCAAACCCCCATCCACCTTTCCACATCTCCAACATTTAGTAGAAGAGAATTAGAAAGAAATGGTGCTGGACATACTAGAGGAATATTCACTTGACCTTTCGTCTTTGTTTTATTATTCTAACCTTGATCATATGGATTTTGTTTTTGGGGATTTACAGGAATATGTATGGATTGATTGTCACGACCCAAACCGATGGGCCGCGACGGGCACGCTGTACCATAATCAACCGAGTACCAACATAACGTATCTTTTCACGTAATACTATCATAGATAACTGAGCCGGAAGGCTTTCGAGAGATAAGTAGAATACAACTTGTGATACCAACTTATACATAAGACATACGGGCCTATAAGGCCAAAATAACCACTCGTACAATGAACATAGGCTGGCAAGGCCATATAATCTTTACGAACATGACATCTATCTACGAGCCTCTAAGAATACATAATTATCACAAAGGCAGGGACAGAGTCCCGCCATACCAAACAATACACATCTGAATCATACTAACCAAACAAGTAATTCCGAAGTATATGGAGCACACTAACATCTTTCGCTGAGCTGATAGCCTACTTGGAGGGCTCTCGACCTATCTATCGGGACCTGCGAGCATGAAACGCAGTGTTCCCAGGCAAAAGGGACGTCAGTGAAAATAATGTACCGAGTATGTAAGAATGAAAATCAGTAAATAACAGACATGAGAGAAACATGGAGTAAAAAGACTTGACATGTACGTTTGCATAGCTCTTTGAATCATTTATTTTTTTATAATGTCATGCATATGCATACAAATGTCATATCATGCATGGGTGTATGAGTTCATAATATTATCAAGCTTCTGAAGGCATCCCATCATATAATCTCGGCCACCATGGGCAAATTATCAACGTATACCAGTTGATCAGGTGGTGGTGCGTATATATCGCCGTAACCTCTTCCCATATATATATATATATATATATATATATATATATATATATGTATGTATGTATGTATGTATGTATGTATATATATGTATGTATGTATGTATGTATGTATATGTATGTATGTATGTATGTATACGCGTATATAATGCCTCATGGGTCAATGCACATAAGTGCAATGCATGAGAAGTACGTCAATAAAATCTCTTGGAGTGTCATAAGACCATTATGCCTTCGAATAATATCATGAAGTAAACTTTTTCAACTTACGTATTTTTCTAAGACCCATGAACAGATGATAGAATAATATGACACATGGAGAATCAAGAACATAAGCATCTCTTGCATTTCTATGAATAGAGTTATTTATGAAAATTGCGCATTTGCTCGTTTTGTTTGTGTCGTATAGATCATGCCAAAAGAAAGAAGGGATAGCCTTAACATACCTAAAATGATTCTCTTGACAATCACTTTAACACCCGTTGATTGCGACAACAAGAAACGGCAGATCGAAGTTGGGAAAAATCCATATAATATTCTTGAGAAAGATAATACCGTGCTCTCTTAGAATCGCAAAATCCTGTTGCTACTACGCTACAAAGTCTTGTATGAATTCTTGTGGAAGTGATTCACGTTACTTAGTGAAAAGTATGGTTTTTGTTGGAGCATTACATAGCTGATTCGTATAACATAATAAACAAGAATGAATCTCTTTATAAAGGTCCCTTTTTTAT